AGTGAGTGACTTCAATATCTTACTGTCACCAACAGACAGGCCATTCAGACAAAAATTAAACAGAGAAATGCTGGAGTTAAGTAATATCACAAATCAAATGGACCTAACAGACATCTATGTTCCCAAACCCTACAAAATAGACTTTCTTCTCAGAAGCCTATAGCATTTCTTCAAATTTCTTCTGTCCTACAGCGGAAATTAAAATAAGAAGATTTATTGGGGCAGGAAGTGGAAAGGCAGGTTATAGGACAGAATATGGAAAGAGTTAACTAACGCTAAAGGCCATTTGAAAAGCCATTCAGAAACCCACTACTGTAGGCGATTCCTAAAATTCTTATATCTGTATTAATGAAATTTAAACGGAGTTACTATGTAAAGGGGAGGAGGAGACAGAACCCCAACTAGACATCAGCTGCTGCCAAATACAATCCTCAGCATCAGAAATAGGCTGCACCTTGCTGAGTCATTGGACAGAGGGTTCCCATTGACCACCCCCTTCATCCCCCCAAAGAAACCGTTACAGGCTATTACCAGTGTTATTTGTTGTCTTCCATAACCTGATGGTAAGACCCTGATGCTGAAGACACTGAATTGATGCTCAACTAGATTTTTTGTCCCTATTGACTAGCGTTGATGACACTGGAAGGTGCCCTGAACACTGCTAGAGGAGAAAGGTAACCATCGCTATCATCTAGATGTAAACTACGGCTCACAGCAATGACCTGACTGTAAAATATGCTGCTACAATAGTGGCACAATGCTATGGAAGTCATCAATCAACCCCTCTTGATTTGGAAGCAGTTACCACTTCAAGAGATGACACTCCTATCTGACACTGTTAATGAGACAAAGAGCCCGAGGCTAAATAGGACATGGGCTTGGGGGAAATGTGCTATAGTTATTCCAATAAATCAACATAACAATACAACAGTTCCTAATGCCATACTGCTATATCCATAGTTCAGTGCATGCCTGCATCCTCCTCAGAGAGCTTCTTCTTGCAGTAGAGGGGAATGAACAGAAACCCAACCGCAGCACTTGCAGAGGGTATGAGACTTTGAAGCACTCATCTCTAAGTGGGTTGTCTGTATTACACTCCACCTCTCAAGCCTCAGCTATCTATGTGGAAGAGGAGGTAGAAAGATTATAAGAGCCAGAGGGGATGCATGAATCCATTTTCCAGATGCAACAGGACCAACGCACAGGTGAACTCACAGAAATGGTGACAGCATGGATAATACCAACAGAAATTCAAACCTGGCAAAAATGCCAGCGTGGAGAAGGGGTAATATACACAGTTCCATTCCTAGCCAAGAAGCTATGTAGTACTCAGGAATAGTTGGACAACACAAAGCGGACTCCGTGTTGTCATATTTTTTTTTATTTTTATTTTGTTTGTGTGTGTGCATGTGCTTTGTTTGTTAAAGAGAGAGAAAGAATATGAAGTACAGTGGGTAGGGAGAAGGGAGGTTTGGAAAGACTTGGGGGAAGGAAAGGAATATGAGCAAATAATAGTGTATGAATTTTTTTAAAAAAATGAGAAGAGAAACATTAAACTATACTTATGTGGTATGTATACACATGTGTGTCTCCAGGTATGCTTGTGAAGGTCAGCAGACATGTTGGAGTTGATTCTCCCCTCCTACCACATGGGTTCTTGGAATTTAACTCATATTGTCAGTTTGGTGGCAAAACTTTCCTTTGTCCACTGAAGCCACTGAAGCCACTGAAGCCACTGAAGCTGGTTCCTGAACATATATTCTCTTAATGCTATTTTTTATTTATTCTTTGACAAATGTCAGGTATCTTGATCATATCCACTAATCAAAGTCTCACTAACCTCAAGTTCTCTTTCTTAAAAAAAGTGTGTGTGTTTGTGTGTTTGTGTGTGTGTGTCTTAAAAAAGTGTGTGTGTGTTTGTGTGTGTGTGTATGTGTGTGTTTTAAAACCTACTAAATCCAATTAGTGCTGCCTGGTGAAATGTGCCTGATTCGTTTTTTGATTGACCTTGTGTAGGTGACCCCAGCTGCAGCGATTTTGTGAATCAATTGTGTCATATCTAGAAGTCGGACCTTTGAAGCCCTCCTTCCCATACTCTGACTCTACCAGTCTTTCTGTCCTTTCTTCCATGATGTTCTCTGTGTCTTGGAGTCTGGGGAGTGCCATATAGATGTCCCATGGAGAGCCAACACTCAGGAATCACTCACTGAAAAGTGTTTTTGAAATGCTAGGACGTCATCCCCAGGATGACAGAACTAAAGTACAAGAACCAACTCTTCTGTAACTCTTGGTTGCTTAAACTTTCCCATGCAGGCCCAATTAACTTAACATCTGCTTCTCTGTTCGCCTTCCATCCTCCACGTATCAGACCAGATGGGTGCATCTCATCCCAGTCATGAGGTGCAGCTGAGATCAAAGCACCTGATGATTAATCAGTGATGTCTTCAGAGAGTGTCCTTCAGAGGCCAGGGAGGGAGTTTTCAGAATCAGACTGAAACTTTGCGGGGCTGGTAGCCTCTGCCTGTGTTCCCAGCATGCAGAAGGCTAGATGGAAGCAGGAGGATACTAAGTTTTAGACTAACCTGGGCTTCATAGCAAGACTCTGCCTCAAAGCCAACAGCATAATGGAGTTGTTTGTGCAGGCCTGTCTAAAGGAAACTCAAGCCAGGAGGTTATGGAGAAATGGTTGTTGTGTGTGGCTGTCTGTCACTAACTAAATGCAGTTTTAAATAAGACCTCCCTGTAAGAGGCTGTATTTTTTATCAGCTGGCTAGAACTTCAGCAGCAAGGAGAGACGGCGATGTTACAAGGCCAGGGGCTAATTCCCTTATCTCAGGCTAGTTCTAGCCCCTGGAACACCCATTCCTTACCCACCTCCGTGTCAGAACTAACGTTCTGTGACTACTAGATCAAAACAAAAAAACAACTTTTCAAATCTATTAGCTTAGCAGGCTAATATCTTCCACCAACCCAAAAGCTAAGAATGTCATCAGATAACATGTGATGATTCATAGAAAAGCTTCCCTCATCTTGCTGGAATCATCTCTCTGATGTATCCACTGAGACGTTTCAAACTTGTCTTCATTTATTACTTTCTTGGATCTGTAAAACTATAAAACTTCTTAAAACTGTTTTCATGGGGGCTGGAGAGATGGTTCAGAGCTTAAGAACACTCACTGTTCTTCCAAACATCTTGAGTTCAATTCCCGGCAACCACATAATGGCTCATAACCATCTATACTAAGATCTGGTGTGCAGACAGAATGTTGTATAAATAATAAATAAATCTTTTTTTTTAAAAAAAAAAAAAAACCTGCTTCCATGTTGGGACAGTATATTTGGGGAGACCGAAATGGATATTCCCGTGCCATGATTACTCACATATGGTTCAGAATAAACTGTTGTTATTTTTTATTCCATTGAGGAATAAAAAAAACCTGTTCCTTTTGATAACAGTGCATCCTTGGTCCCTGCTTCTATTCTGTTTATATTTGTTTCAGACACGGGAATCTTTTACCTCAAGACTGAAGTGGAAAAAGCTGAGACAGGAAATGCAATCGTCCTGGCAGAGATGAAGGTATTCTAATGAGACACTTGAGTCCCTCTCTTTGGCTCTTAAACTATAGAGATAACAGACATACACACCCCATTGGAATTTCCCCAGAATATCATGCCGAGGCCGTGTAGGAGCCTGTGTAAGAAAGTTGTGACCTCTCTGTGAACTATGGATGTTCACAGAACAGAATGTGCGTCCCACAAGGTGGCCTTCTAGAAATAATTGCATAAACTATAAAAAAAAAAAAGTTTGCACTTGGAAGCAAGTGTGGATGTCCACACTATCTCTGTGGGAAAGGCGAAGGCCTGGAAAAAGTATTTTTGGCTCTTTTCACAGGACCAAAGATGATAAGACATAATACCAAGTGTATTCCCTTGTTATTTTTGTGTTTGCTTAAATTCACTGTAAACATCTCATGTTTTGCTTGCTTTACTAATAAGGAAGTGCTTTATTTGCACTATTCTTGAGTTCAAATGCTTGGAGCCCTCTGGTTATCCCATAAAGACCTTTGGCTTATCTTTCAATCTATGGAGACTCTGTTCGCCTTGCTCTTCATGGCCCATTGCCTTGTCTAACGGTCTAAAAGGCCAGTAAAAGTCAGAAGCTTTGGGCCAACATCAGACAAGCTTGTCTCAGGCAAAGAGATTTCACACAGTCTGACCTTATAGGAGAGCCTAGACAATGATGGAGAACCAGACATACCTTGACCAGGACCGCTTAGTTGTGCACACACCTGTTGCATTTCACTCAAACCTAAATCTCATGATGGGACCCCAAAATCGGACTTGGGAATGATTGGATCTTTGTCTTTCCCCAGTATAGTCGCATTGAATAAACCTCTTTTTCTTTGTTAGTTTTTTACTTTTCATTGTTAGCTGCATCATGAATTAGGCTATGGAGGGTTTGCAGCTGAAGCTGGCTGGTTAGAGGTGGTGGGTGGGGGTTGGGGGTTGGGGTACGGGTGTGTGGTGGCTGGTAGGAGGGGGCCACATGTTCTTGATCTACTAACTAGTAATTTCAAGATGTTCCCAGTGTTACGGTGCCGAAACTCCAGTTCAGGTAGACGGTATTGGTTTTTGTTTTCTTGTACCCTTCCCCTCATTTTTTTTCCTTTGAGGAAGATGGTGGTGTATTCTGAGGAGCATCTGCGTGTTTTATCGTTCCTAGCACTAATCCAGGAACATTCATACTCTATGAATGGCAGTGGGAGGTCAGGAAGGCAATTTCTATAACGGTCCTAGTGGGCTCAGCAGACTCCCCTCTTTTTAACTGTCTAGCCAGTCGGATCAAGCTCAGCCTGAAAAGCGCCAGGGTAAAGAAGCCTCCAGGCCAGCCAGGACCAGAACCGGCCGCAAGCAGGCTGCTGCTCCATCCCGGCGAGCGGCCCGCGCGTCTCCTTTAAGAGCCGTCAAGCTCCCGTGACGTCAGGGCAGGAAGTGTTTGAGGAAGTGGCGCTGGGCTGGCTGCGTGGGGACCCCGAGTTTTCATGTCCTCAGCGGGTGTCACTGGCGGCCCCGCGGCCCCTGGGGCAGGTGAGTCCCACGCGAGGGCGGCGCGCGGCGCGGAAGGGCTCGCGTGGGGCGCGCGCTCCGCCTCTTGCCGGCGCCTGAGCTGCGGTCACCGGGCCGGGCCGCTGGCAACTTTATTTATTAGCTGAATCGGAGTCTGCCGCCCTCACCTTGCAGGGCATCAGCCGCTGCTGCTTTCCCGCC